CAGATAGGGATAAGCACAAGCATTCCGAAATATTTATGTCGGTGTTACTGGAATGCCCGCGACGAAGGTGGACTTTATCACAATCCTAGTAGAATAAAAGGCACGCCCCTACATCATGTGTCAATTTCGATGTTTATGTATCCCGAGGAACCAGACACAGATAGATTGTGGTGGGTGGTACACCACAAATTGTTGGGATTGAAAAAAAGAGAAATTGTCCTCTAGCCTTAACGGGGGCTACAGAAATTAACCGCGTGGTTTAAAGAAACGGAAAAAAACCGCAAGAATCTCAAAATTTAGTTGCCAGGAACAACAAAATTTATGGTTTCTTTCAATTGCTACAACGTAAGAATTGCCAGTAAACTAGTCACCAAAAAAAGAAGCACTGGTTAAACCAGACGGAAAACTGACAAAACATGGTACGAGATGCAGCTGACCAAAGTATCAAGCATAAGATCAGTTGGAACTGAATTTGGAAATATCGGAAAAGAACAAATCAAAGCATGTTTTTTGGTTGCAGTGAAATAATATCTGAAAAAGAAACTTTTCGAGATAATGATCTGACAAGACTGAAAGCCTAGAGCTGCGATCTCACCTCTGTACTCTCTCCCGAGGACAGTCATCTTTTTTTTTTTTTTTTTTGAGAATCTGAACTGAAAAACAGCTGACTCCAGAAAAAAATTAGTTCACACTATTTTTTGTCATCTACACGATCATGGATTTTTTGCACTATTCGGGTTAACTAAATTAATATTTTGCCTATGAAGAATGAAACAAACCAAGCGTCCCAGTGACTGAAGCGTAACGCAAACGGAAAAGAGATCGCGCGCTTCGAACAAATCCACCGATTGAAACGTTTCCTCATCCTTGACACCTAATGAGCGAACACCGTTGCAAAACTGATTAATATTTTCCATGCAGTTAAAATTGCTGCTCGGCTTCATAATCTTCTGCACCGTACCCGGTTTGATAGCGTTCAGTAATCTGCAGAGGAATCGGATATAAAAATAACTGAAAGATACTGAGATAAAATTAAAGTTAAAAGTAAAAATTAGAGTTGAAATACCGAAAAGGAATGCATAACCGCGATACCCCCCCCCCCCCCCCCCCCCCCCCCCCCCCC